GGTAATCTTATTTTTTTATAACTTTCTACCTATAGCAATTTTTGTATGTACCATCCAATTTGAAACTGGTGCATTTAAGTTTTATTGATTGTGATTGTAAAATAAAAATATTGTTATTAAATTATTTAATCTTCAGACACGACTTAGCAGTCAACTATTACTTTTACACACGTTTAATATATATTTTTAAATTTCTCCTTGATTCGATCTATATTTGCATAATCTCACACTACTTCCCAATTGATAGAAAACTTCCAGTATATTATGCATCTCATCCGAAAAAATGCACTGCTGAAAAGAGGAGTTATCATAATATCATATTAAATTGTTTACCTCTACGCGAAGTCGACGTTATGTCGTTCTGTCCAAATAGGTAGTAGCGCGTCTCAAAGAGCCATCAGACCACCACAGATGGACCCCAACAGGGCTGATGTTAATACAGAGCAGTGTAGGACTTAACAGGTTACCGGAGCTCCGGCTCCTAGTGCAGGAGTAGGAACGGGGTAGTTTGTAATCATTATGAGTCTGACATCCCCTCTCGCCTCACCCGGGCGGAAGAAGTCATTGGATAATTTTCCCTCTTCAAAAAAGAGGTAGAAAGAGACCATAATTATATGCTTACAAACGCTTGGGGAATTAAAATTGTAATACTACCCCAGTTTTCTAGTCAGCGTCACGGAAAAATCCAAATCACACAAGTAGTCTGTAGGCTCACATTCTTAGCTACCGCCTACATTATTTCATACACAATTTTATCTCGTCCTCCCATAGGATTCATGAGCAAATAACGTGAAATTATGTAAATGTTAAACATGATTCTCTTTTACTTGAATACCAGTAATATAAGGCATATTACTTATATGTTATCTTCTTCCTATATTCGTTAAAAGATAAGCAGTTGCGTAGGTTACTATATTTTTTGGTAAAAAATATGTTTAATAGGATCGCTCTTCCATGAAATTATGTAATTATTGTACAGTGTACATATACAGTGAACATACATAATATGTTCACCCACTTTTTCTGGTGACATTTTCAAGAACATTAAAACAGAGTTTTTTAAGGCGCATTAGTAAACATAGTTGTAATACTACGACTGGAAAATATACCCATTAAACAAAAAAAAATAAGAAGAATATAATAAAAAACCTTGTTGTAATTCACAGACTGTATCTATGAATATAGTATAATAGTATCTATACAACTAAAAAATTATCTAATATAAAAAATCTATCTAATCTAATAATAGTGACTTGGAAATTTCAGAAGAAACAAATACTAAGATTCGTGGAAACTGGTACCGTAAAGTTTGTTTGTAATAAACCATGTTTGTAGGTCGAATATGTTCTCAGAGGTATAATTGAAAAACTTCTGACAGGGGTTAAACTGAACCTGGCACATGTAGCTGCCTTTTGGTACGGTGAAGCTGACTTTATAGGAATAGCCGTGAAATTATTGCTGTTTAATTAAACAAATTCCTCAGTTGGGTATCGAGATGGTTTTGGGTGCATTTGTGTTGTGAGATTCTTCGCGTAAACTATATTGTTGTGATCATAGTCTAGTAATATCATGCTGTGTAGTGGTCTAAGATTATAATAAAAAATTCGTGAGACATACTAAATTAATTATGATGTTTTCGGTATACTCACGTAACTGATTGACGAGGAACGACCTCACCGGAAACCAACGAAAAACAATGCTTGCGTTGTATTTTGTTCGTGTGAGTGAGTTTACCGAAGGCCCAATTACCTCTCTCCCCAGTCTCCCCAATCCCCGAATTCCTCAGAATCCTCAAATTTCCAATTCCCAAAAAGCCGGCAACGCACTTGTAACGCATCTGGTGTTTGAGGTGTCCATGGGCGGCGCCGATTGCTTACTATCACGTGATCCGTCTGCTCGTTTACAGACTTATCCCATTAAAAAATCCTTTTTAAACTGCGACTCCATTTGCTAGTCGAAACTGTCGAGAGAGACGATAACTTGTACTTTGATATTTGATTAAAGTACAACTTATCGTCATAGTGATATACATAATTATAACACTGTAATTATCTTGTTGACTAGCCACATAATAATTGATTATATCAATAACAATTATAACAATATTTCACTGGAAAATGGCTAAACAAATAACCACTGGAATTTTTTTACTTTGATAAAAGATTAATATATAAAATTCGAAGAAAGAAAGGAGGTTTCTGCTTGTGAAAACTGGTCAGCGCTAGATTTCAATTCTATTTAGGTTGGAATAATGATAATACTTACAATTAAAGATTTGGTATAGATTAGATTTGATATTTTAAAATTTCCAATTGTGGTGCGTGGTCTCCAAACCGAATAAAAAGAAATATGTAGCTAACCCACATCTCTTTTTCGTCTCTTCATAATGGATGGCATGGAATGGGAGGCAAACGAGAGACGTATCACCTGAAGGTAAGCGATCTGCGCCGCCCATGAACACCCACAACACCAAAGGAGCAGTAGACGCATTGTCCGCTTTTATAAACAAATAAGCTCTTTATATAAGCATGTATATAAAAAGCCTTTTTAATCATTTTAATCAATACACATTTTGAATAAATTTTGTTAATATTGTTGATCATGTTTATTTGAAGTTATAATTATAATTTCCAATTACTACTATAAATATTTACTTCATAAATTCCACAAAATAAATTTATAAAAGTCATCTCTATCAGCGACGAGTTTTAAATAAAATTTTAGCGGAATTTTAACAATAATTATGACGCGATAAATTCATTTTTATGACGTCATAAAGTGCATTATGCTTGAAATACTGTTTCACGTTACCATGTATGGGTTGGAGTACCATGATAACGATAGGTACTGCATTAAGTATAATACTTACCTCGCTTAATTTATTATCATTTGATTTATGAGAAACTGTAGGAATACACAATTTTGAACTCTATTCTAATTATAAAATAAATATTATAATAGAAGACTTATTCGAAAAAACTCTGGCGGTGCAAGCAGTAAAGAAACTAGGTAGTACCTAAAGTTATTTAAAAACTAATTTTTAAAATTCTAGGTAACTTGTATCTCTTTACCAAATGACGTACGACAAGTACCATCGTACAAATCTCGTCTTAACGCATCTAATACACGAGGCAATTTAGTATAAATAAAGGAACCGTTGAACATCTTAAAATTTTACGTGATTTGAATGTGTTCGAGACATTGAAGACGACTAGAATGGAGTCACGTTTCGCACGGATATCTAAATATTCTGTTTCCTATAAAATATACCCTTTTTGTTTGAAGTAATTTTTTTGTGAACTGATTTATCAGAAAGATGTCACAAAAATACTGAAAGTACATTGTCAAAACATCATATGGCACTTTCCTATTTATATTAGTAAATAATGCTGGTCGTACAAATTTCATCACAGATAATTAAGTCATTGGACGTTATGAGGACCAGCCTATTGCCATAAACCGGCTTGTATTTTCTTCCTCTTTTCCTTTTTTTTCAAATATCGAATACTCCGTGATGTACATACTAAGAAATTTCCAAAATAAATTTACATTATTATACTTAGTTCCATAACCAACTGGAAATATAGAACTTTGTTCAGAAAATATACGGAAAAGGTACAGTTAGTTTTATTTTTAGATGGCTGTCAGTACGATGTGGCTATTGCGTAAGTGTCGATGATGTATGAGGAGTGAGATCGAATGAAAATCTAAATATTTAGAATAGTGGCTTAAAAGTCTTATTTGTTTTGTCTACCATTATCCTTTCATTTCCTTCTCTGTTGAATTATGCGTGTCTTTCAGTGATTGTAAAAATTGAGATGCATATTTGTTGATGTTTTTTAAAAGTGGATGCGCACTTTAACATTGCGCAGTTTTGAATCTACCTATTATGATTGAGTCAACCTCTTTGATATGATAAATATCATATTGATATTTTGATGATCTATAACCTATTCCGTCAAAAATCTGGAAAATTCTTGGTAAATAAATCCATCGCGTAATAATAGATATAAAATAAATAAATAGAAAGATACATTGATATTTTTTTATTCATTTCGAATTCATCATGATTATTTAGTTACCAATAGAAATTCTTAATACCTACGTAATTTCATTGTCAAAATCTGTGTTCATTTGGAGTTTCATACTTGAAAACATCGAAATATGGTCCTGAAAGAGGGTGTCCTTTTTTTTATTTTACTATAAACATTTTGAAGACAACCTAATAAAACAAAATGTCGGAAATCTCCAAGATCCTCACTCGATACAATCAAGAGTAAGAAATCGTTTAAATATCTGTAAAATTTTTAAATCCACTTAAAATATCTACTTATCCAATGCAATCTTCTAATGAAAACACATAATATTATATTATCTCATACGATAACAAATGAAATCTATTTATTAGGAAAAACAAACGGAATTCGGAAATCTATTACGATTAAATGTTTCGGCAAACAAATCCTTTGATCGATAAAAATAATCGAACTGTGAGAATTGTTCTCGTATCTTCTTCAATATCCAAACTCATAATGATATGAAATTAATGACCAATATTCATAAATAATCTCATCTTTCATTTAATCTATAATGCTTTATAGATTAGATATATTACAATCCTGCTCAGTTACGTGAGATTCTTATATATATCTCGCCTTGAAATATAATTTTATTAACTTGTTTAATAGTTTTTTAAACATGATCGTTTTCTGTCTCGTAATAGCTTTATAGCTAGGATTTATTAGTATCACGTCATCTCTAAATTTCTAATTAGACTCATCACGATTTTCGCTACATTTTCGATATTATTTGACCATTTAATTTAATTACATAATTAAGTAATGCATACTGAAGAAAAACTCATGGTGTAAAAGAAAAATACTTTGAACCTTGACACGTAGAAAAACCCAATAAAGTAGCCATTAACTTCCGAAGTAACAGTCCTCAATAAAACTGTCTCTGAATATTCAACGAAAAGTAAATAAAGTTAAGAGACTTACAGTCACTGCTTTAAGTAAGACACTCCAGCACTTTGTTCCACAGTATAAAACTAGACGAACAAACCATCCATCACAAAACCAAACACTGCAATTAAGACATTTTTGTCACCACTCAGTACTCTTGGCCGCTAACATCAGTTTATGTTCGGGCCGCGTAACAATTTCCAAAGAGTAGACGCGTAAGCGATACGTCCCAGCTTCCACGCGATCCGGAGACATCTAAAAAATCCGAGTCCTGGAAGCTTATTGCCGTACAGTCGCGCGTTGAACTTCACTCTGTAACATAACCACACATTTAAAAACAAACCTTATTACTTGACGATAGAGTGGGAATTAGCTCGCAAGTTATACACATTTCGGCCGCAGAACAAACGGAGATAGGGGCTGAAGCACAGATGCTGCGCGCATGCGATTTTGGACGACGCACACACGTGTGTAGTAATATTTTGTTGTGTATGTGTGTAAAGGCAACGTTACATTGTTTGAACCACTGCCGGACACTATTGTTGTGGATTTTCGGCCGGCCGTGATAACCGCCGGCTTACAATCAACCGTGATTAATATTTGGGTATCATATAGCAATTTGTTGTGTCACGCTAAAAGAAAAGCTTCGTAATAGGCTTACAGTATCATTCCACATAAATTTCCGTGTTTATAACATGATCGGGAATACATTATGTCATGTAACATAAAGTCTACACAAAATGATAATAATAATAACATCAACGTTCCTTTGGGAGTAACAACCCTTTTAACCACGCCAGTTAGTCCATAAAACAGAAATGCATTTTTTCAATCATCAGTGAATTCTTAACTGTAGAATAGACATTTGACAGTTTTTAGTATGGAAGAATTGTCAAATATTCAAAGTTATTCGAGTTAATTTTCTTTACTTTTATCTACGTATAAATAAGGCTTACCAGTAAAAATCCAAAGTAAACACAAGTCAAGTCGGTCGAAAAAGGTGAAATGTCTCATTTCCCTGTAAAATTACAACGCATACGGTTTCAAATGGAACACGCGAACAGCTCTTAAGGTGAAAATAAGTACCGACGCCGGTCCCATTCCAAGCAAACCTCTTGTACAAAGAACCCTTTCATAAGAAAAGTAATAAGAAAATAATTGAACTGAAATCATAATAGATACGCCATTATTATTTTACTCAAATTATTACCCCTAACTAAACGTTCCACCTGGAGCAAAAGAATGAATTGTATTACTTTTAATGTTAGTATTCCAAAGTTTAGTAAATTATTCATTATTATCTTCTATTGTATTGGCATAAAATTGTTACAATTATTCTGGGAAGAGCGAGTATTTTATTATTGTTCCTATAACACCCACTATTCACTAGTTGCTATGCACGATTCAGATTTTGGTACTGTGTTTCTTCCCAGAATTTTGTACTATATGTTTGACGTTCGCACAAAAACCTATGTGATCCACTATCGAATGTAAAGAACTGAACGACGTATGTGTACCTATAATAGTATCGATAAACGCCCCCCACACAGTAACCTAGTACGGAGTCACATCTATACAGATAAATAAATTTAGTATGTCTGTTTTAATATTGAATTAACCACTTTTACGACAGGCATAATTATACATATATATACGATATACCAAAATAACACTTTTTACAATTTTTGTCTGACCGTCTTTCTATTTATACTGGCTAAACTCTGAAATTTATAGACCGATTTTAACGGGGCAACTATTGAGAGGTAGCTGATGTACTAAACAGTATAACATAGGATAATTTTATTTTAGAAAAATCGCAGAGGAAGGAAGAGGATACAGCTAGTTTAAAATAATAACAAAAGGCAAAATGAAATCAAAGACAAACGTCTAAGTAAAATAATTCGCATGAACGACAAGCAGCATTAACAAGCATGAACGACGATTCACAATAATCAGAAACCTGTCATAGTCAGCTCGAAGAATAATTGAGAGAATCGGGTTAAGATAACAGTTGTATGTGACAAGCAAATAATTTAGCAATGTTCATATTCGAAGCACGTACGATAGTGATTCAGCCACCACACTACATCCCGAAATTGCCTGCATATCTATGTATATTCTGGTAGGCCTTTTCACTGAACTGAGTCTATAAAAATGGTAGGAATGTATTGAAGACTATGTCTGAATACTGATAGTTTGATACATTAGTCGATTTTGTTCCTATTATGTCTTATATTATCTTTATTGATTCGAGTATTAGTAATGATGGATGGTAGTGTAAGACATACTGGCTAAAACTGTTCAATTTTACCAACTTAGATATAATATCGGTAAGTCTCAAATGGTCAGTCTGAGTTGAACCTTTGGAAAAATATTCACAAGTTTTTTTTAATATTTCGTTTATGTCTGAAACACAATATCAAGTATTTTAACTTGTATTTTCTCAATCTTTTTATTTTCTGAAGCAGCTAAACGAAGCATTGAACTAGGATAACAAATAAATTGAAATAAAAATAAAGATTCAAAGCTAAAATGTATAGAAGTGTTTACGTATCTCATATCATTGAAGTTTATTCACCACGAGGACTATAACATTTTGAGATCAACGTATGAGAAGTTTCACTTGTCGCAATACTTTCATAGTTCTTTCATATATAAGTGCAAGCTACTTCACATGATTTCTGCTTTAAAATGGTTTACTTTTTAGCTGTTTTGTTCACATGTTATGATAATAGAGAAAACGTCAAAAATTGGACTTTAAAGCTTATTGCGTTGATTAACGAATAGTTTATCCTCAATTTTAAAAGATGCTGACTTGGAATTGTGAAAGAATATTGACATAAAGTCAAGGACGTTGGAAAAAAGGATAAAGTACTATACGTTTCACAATAATTATAAAAAAAAAACTTGGTCACAGTTTCAGTAAAAAAATTAAACAAACGAAAAAAAAAACATCCAATAGCCAGTTATACCTACTCGATGTAAATAAAGCCATTGACAGGATGACACGCCAAATAAAATATACCGTTCTTCATTCAAAACTTTTGACATATCTAACCTCAAAAATCTGGAAGCGAGGTTTCGAAAATATCATAAAAATTCTACCAAAGATGGGTAGCAAGCGATTCTCGTTGTCAAGACCACACCTTTCCATGCAATAGTATTGTCAGTATGTCAACCCCCTTTTAGAGTCCGATTCTACTCTCAGGTGTATTCAACGACTTCGATTATCCGTTTACAAAAGTCCCGAGCTCAATTCTCACCAAACTTGTTTAATTAAAGTTTTCGCACTCTTTTTCCCTTTAGGCGGGAAAATAATCCCTTGTTTGGAACACAGAGTGGAATAGAATGTCGTTCTCGTAAACAGATATTTTTCGTTTCGATTTTTAATGTTACTCGCTGTTTGATAGTTTATAAAAGTGAATTTGCATGCTAAATTTAGCTTTTCAAGTTTTTTAGATGCACTACTTTATCTTACAATTTGTTTTATTATAAAAAAAGCGTCAAAACCAAATTTGTGTAAATAAAAATCGTTGTAAAATGAATATTCGTACTCGAGATGAAAATAACCTTTCTAAACTTAGTACGTACTTTAACTAAAGTGAAACCCTGACTCCAACTTAAACAATTGAGAAATTGCTACCAGACTAACTTTACCTAAGTCAACACACGCTCTAAGTGGCATGTACTCCTAACAAACTGTTATGCATTATTATTGTTACAGCGTTTCCACGCCTTTTGATGTCCAGAGCACGTTGGTCGAAGTTTTTGTAGGCACTCGGTATTTGCTTTCGGGATTCGAGTTGAACTTCCAATATGGCGGAAAGTATTCGTGCATTCGCATGTTCGGCGTGTTAAACATTCAGGAATAAGTTTTACTGCGATCAGATAGTAAACTTTACCGTGGGGACCGTTCGATTCAGATGTTCAATGTATGTAAGTACTTTATTGCTTGCATTTCCATCGTCAGCATGTAAAAATTTTATATTAATCTGTTTGATAATTTCATGGTTAGCATACATTTTTCAAGACTCAGAGTTCAGAGATATGTCCCAAATGTTTTAAACCGCCAAACATTCTAAACTACAGGACCTCTCTTAAAGTTAAGACGAATAAATATCCATAGTTGATTTGTTTTCAAAAACACCTAAAAATAAATCTAAAGCAGTTGAGATTTAAATCATTTAGACATTCATTACACTCAGAGATTTTAGGTAAATCGGAGGCCGTACGTTAAGCCTGGCGTTATGAATTTTATAAGCTTGGTTGCCCAACTAAACCTGACTAAACAATTAAAAGCTCACCTGTTGCCTGTACTGCACATACTGTGGTACATACTTTGTGTGGTACATATTTCTATGAAAAACCTCTGTTGGCCTAGTAACAAGGTTGTAAGTAATTCGATTGCCCTTTGTTTTTAATAAACTTGGATTACTTTTTTATAATTCAGGATTAACACTCGATGGTACTAGAGCATTGAATTACCTACTTATCTTCTTAATGAGCAAAAGAAAGAAGTAATAAAAAAGAAGAAGAATAAAAGACAAAGCCCATCAGGCGTATATTATAGGCGTATTGCTGTAAGTCTGATGCCGAATGAGCCGTGGAGGACTTGACGGTTTTCTGGGGCTCCGGCTCGAAGTGCAGGAGTAAGAACGCGGTGGTTTTAGTCAGTAAGAGTCTGACGCTCCATAAAAAAACACCCGGGCGGAAGAATAATATGGATAATTTATCCCTTCAAAAAAACCTGTATTATTGTATAATATTTAAGGTTGTTTATTCATTCGCATATCATAGAGACAAAATCGCCCTTGAGATTGAGATTTTGTCGCTGACTGTGACTGTACTTATTTTTCAAGATTATTATTATACTATTCAGTACATAAAATGATACATGTAGGCCACTATAAAAAATGTCCTTCAAAACGTTCTGATCGCCATATGTATAATTTAAATTCAATAACTGATTTATGTGAATAGCAGCAATAATTTACTATTCAACCCACTCAGTGACTCAGCTTGCTTCATTAATTCTATGATTGCTTAAAAGCATTGACAATTTCGCATGAATATTCACTGAAAAAATATGACGCACTCACTAATAAAATGTAAATTTTCTCTCAAAGTCGTGCAGTAATTTACGAGATAATACAAACTATTCTACTTCAAGATAAAATGATTGACAGTGCTATTTCTATGATAAATAGTTAGCGGAGTGAGTTTTAACATTATTAA